CACTTTGGGCACAATAGTCTATCATTGAAAAGCGCTCATCCAGCTTCACTAAATCCCTATCGCCCTTGAGCTACACCAGTTATTCTTATTCCTTGAGAGAAGCCTGCAACCTCAAAGTTTTATTCTTCTCAAGCCCGCAGCAACTGCTACAAGCAGTAAATTTAGAAATAATGTCATTCAAAATGCATTTTTTTTTTCTTAATCCAATTTAGTTTCACAGCTGTTCATGTTTTTGCTTTTTGCAGTCGTAACCACGTAATATTTCCTGCACTGACCTGAGGTCCGCTTTAAGAGACCTGACCATGAGCGTTCCCCTGTTTGCATTTTAGGCACTTCTCTAAAAGCGAAAACTGCTGAGGTGTTAAACACTGTTAGGGAAATATTAACCGTTGCAAATCTAAAGAAAGACTGATTATTATAATAGAAGACGACGACTTGATTCTATGTCATTTAATGTCAGCAGGAACTCTGTCGCTTCATAACCAACAAGCACTAACGTAGAAAGAAGATTTAAAACAAACACAAGAAAAAAACTATATGTAAACTATATGTGTATACATATATATATAGAATACCTATTTCAGGTAGCCTTCCCATTGAATTTTTCGGTCACCTTCGTGCAGTAAATCAATAAGTTCTACGTACACAACTAAAAAAAATACAATTGAACAGGTATTTTCGGGCAGAGGAGTTGAAGCTCAAGAAATGCAGCCAGTGTTAGAAGAGGAGTTGCAAACGAGCGGATCTAAATCTCTCAGATTCCAGGAAATACTGTTACAAAATGTCTGCACTATTCATGACGCAGCTTGCTGACGGAGAGGCGGTGTTGTGAAACGGTGGAAGGATATAGATAACATTTCGCATTAAACCGGTAGACACTCAGCAAAAGTAATGTAGACAAATGTGAAGTAGTAACAGGTAAATTAGTAATCCCGCACAAAAAAATGATGTCAGACTGATGACGAAAAAGAGGCACGTTGAAGAGTGAATCTGCTTGACTGCAATAAATCCCAGACTTGTCGTGATTGAAGAGCACTGTCATTTCGTTGAACTGAGATAAACTTTCGGCTCCTATTACGTTCTTATTTGGCTAGTCGTTATGTGAATTCATGTCTCCATTTTTTTAATTGTTGCGCTTGATAGTCTTATGTTATGATTATGTTTGCATTACGCTTATCTTGAGTCTGGTCGTTTTTGTTACTTCAAAGTTTACTTACCTAAGTTTGATGTTTACAAAAGTTAGAGCGCTGTAGTTGCTAAGGTCCCGTCGCCGTTGTAATAACGTAGTGAAATACTCAGTTTTTTTGATAAGAGGGTACAGGGTGAAAAGTATTTATAAGTACTGTCAGGCATCTGAAAACACTAAAAAGAATTTCCTGTCTCTTTTATACTGGCTGTTGCTTACTAACTCTTCTTGCTTTTCATAATACTTGAATTAGTTACCTTGCTTAAAATTGCTAGACTTGAAGCACCCAACAAAACTGGATACTTTTTGGAAGTTGATCGGTTGCCTGCCCAAAACTCCTTTTCTTCACACCCTAATTTTAGTATAGAATTTAAGATAACAAGAGCTATTGTCAGGGATAACTTTCAAGACTGTGCCACTCACCAGCTGTGAATTTAACAAGTGATCCAGATACTGTAGGTAAAGCAAAATACAGAACTCTTTTCGCCTACGATCCAGCCTCCCGGCAGTTTTTTAACCAGTCAGCGCACTAGAGTCCCTTTTTGAGAAGACCGTTACAGCAACCAAATGGAACTATTGGGACTGTTTGACCTTTTTTTTTCAGCAACTTTTTGTACCTCCAATTTTAAAATTGCAATCAGAGTTAAGGTGCTGCCTACCAGCATTTTAAAAAGAAAAAAAGCGGTGAATGTGTAGGGAAAACTTGTTTCAAATAGAAGTCAAAATTTTTTATGCCGTCAAGGAATAAATTACTCGTGACTATAATATGGAGTTTTAAGAGTCTTAAGCAAGATGACTCAATAATAGGCAATCTTCAAACGTCAACATTATTAATGCAACTAAAGCAAAAACAAAATATATACCCGCTGACAATTCACTGCATAAATTAATTCTATAAGCATAACAGATGTTAAAAGAAAGAACAGTCAAAAGTAAAGAACAGCTTAGAAAGCATGGACACAGGGGAACAATAATTATAAAAAGTTATAACTGAAAAAGATGAATTAGTTAAAAAGTAACGATAAATAGAGGATTAGAAGCGACAATAAAATTTTAGCTGAAAAACAGATTCGGATCCTGAAAAACACCAATCACAGACACTAGGAAATGAGAAATTTTACAGTGAACAAAATTAAACAATTCTTTGTTGGAAATCAAACCAGATAATCACGGTAGATCAAGGAAGTGCTTAACTCATATACATACAGACTTTAGCTTTGTACCAGCAAATGGGAATAAGAAGATAAAAGATTCACAATTGCACGGTTCTGTAATGTGTAAGGCGAGACAAAAAAAAGCAGTCCATTATGACACAGCAGGAAAGTGAGCCTGCTTATCTAAGATCAAGATTTCAATCTTGTGTATGTACACGAACAACCTTAACTAACTAAATTTCCTAGGAGGAGACCCGTATATGTCAGGCTAGCTACTTGCTTCCCATAAAAGTTATGACAGAAGCGGTATCAACAGTTAACGGAATTACAATATTTTGTGCAGAGTCCTAACTATGCAAAAAAAGAGCTGTTTGCAGCTCAGATCAAATTTACAAAATATTTCTTAAAAATACGATATTCTAATAACTACAGATTCGTCTAGCGAAAAGTAGTCAACAAAAATCTGCTATTAAACAAACTTGTGTCTTGATTAATAGTTACACCATTACAGGAATCAAATAAGAAAGAAAAACAACAAGAGTTGTATTCCATCATACCCCTATTTAATAAGTTTTAAGTTCGACGCTTTTTGTATTGGCGACGAACGTTCTGTTCACTCGCCACATTATTAAGAGACTTTCGTTCAAAACCAAGGTCATTTTCCACCTTTTGACTACTTTGTGAATGACTAACCAGCTGAAATTTCCATACATAAACCATATAATTCGATAAGAAAAAAAAATTCAAGCTGTTAAACCCAAATAAGCAAAGGCTTAAGCACCCCGTAACAAGAGTAAAAATAAAACATATAAAAACTTTGAAAATTTAGATCACTGTGCTGTACATGATTCAAATATCCCCCTTGACTGCATGTACGCAACGTCTTTTAAAATTTCACATGACTTTTTTCAGACGCCTTCATTTTTCTGACAGAGGAAATCACAAAGCTTTAGCAAAATACTCAATAATTGAATTAGAAATTTTCAAATCTGGGATATTTCTGCGAGTTTTCTCAAAAATAGTATCTTTGACCAATTAAGGTAAAGAAGTGTAAAAAAAATTCCAACTTACAAAATCAAGGCGATAATCAGATCCAAAATTAACATAGAACCTTTTTATGTCTGCTACCGACTTGGTTCCAATCTCATTCGCTATTGCAGTGAAATCTTTTCCAAATTTCAAAAAAGCTAAAAAATTTTATGACTTGAAATAAAGATCCCTGTAGCAAAAAATTATTTTAGATCTAAAGCTCTTGCTAAAAACGAACCAATAACGGCCATCTCTTTTTCGGAAGAAGTCCAACGTGCTGTTCTCAGTCTGTGCAACTTGCTTCTAGCAAAACTGCACGAATGCTCAGTTTTCTCGCTAAAATACACCCAAATAAGTGCAAGAGAAATAGGCTATGTCCCGCATCATTTATATAAGTCAAAAAAATTCATAAAACACTGTAAATTCCCTGCAACCTTAATGAGTCAACAGCTGACAGCGACGAACACTCTGCAGTTCCCTCTTTCCCGGCAGTAACGCTCAGTAACTTGTCACCTAAATAAGTAACAAATTAGTCACAATAATCTAGAGACCTATATAAATAGACAGCAAAACTGGAAATTTAATGAGCATACCAGAATCAGCCGAGACCAATGGGACATAAAAAGGACGCAATTTCTTCGTTTTACTGAAAAAAGTGTAAATTTTCACATAAAAAGTTCTCTCAATTTCTTATCTTATTAGAGTCGTAGCTCTAAGTCGGCATTTTACATATTATCACTCAAAAGTTAAGTTGCATTACTGGTCACTAAAGAAAGCAAAATAGTTTGAAGTTACCTGTAATATAAGCTACAAATGCCACATAGCGTTGGAAGATCTTTTTCCAAGTTTTTATTTTGTACTGTTCCACAACAATTAGCACATTCAGCGCGAGAAACTAAAGGTTCTTCATCACTGCACAATCTGTAAGAAATCGTAGAATTAAGTACTCAAAACTTTCAAACCAGGATTATTTCGTAATTTAAGCAACATAATCTCTGCGTAGTAGGCATTGATACTGCAAATTAAAAGCCCCTTCAAACATCGATCAAACATAACTCACTTTGTTTTAAAAGGACAACAACGGTCTGATGGTTGACCAAAGCACTTTGTTTTTTTAGTTTTGTAATAAAAGTCTACCAATTCCGCCACCTTCCGGTTAGGTAAGTACTGCAAAAAGGAGTAATGCCACTAAATTATAAAAAAACGAGGCATGGCACTGAAGTGATTACGCTTACATTCGTCCTAATATAAACAAAGTCATTGTTGTTACACGCTTTCATCCCTTGGAAAAAAGCTGTGACTTCAGCTCTACTAAATGGTTCAAACCGAGGGCCGATAAATTCTTCAAGATGTTCCAAAGTTTCTAACAAGTTGTAGTGGTTTTTATAAAGAGCCTCAAGAACCTGCAAAAAAACAGTATCGTTCCATTTTTCCGAGCGAAGCAACGATAAAACTGTGGACCGCAAACAAACACATCTCATCTGACGAAATGAAAAATAAATATGCAATACAATCACTGTACTTCCTCTTGAAGCATTCCTAATTGGCGCCTTGCAGTGTTGCACAACTGTTCAAAATCACTGTCGCTCAAACTCTCTGAATTTATCCAAATGCATACATCTCGATCTTTCCTGAAAAAAAAAAAGCGTTGCCGAGAAAATAATCGAAAATACCCAGAAAATTCACACTATTCAGTCGTTGCTCACTGTAGCGAGAGGAAGAGCCCTATAACTTTTCAATTCAACTTCTCAACCCATTGACCCTGTTCACTATGTTACCTGATTATCACTATTAAATGATCTCTCCTCCAAAGCTCCAGTTCTCAATACTTACTTGTAACTCCTTTTCAAAAACAGATTGCTGATAAAGAAATAATAAAGAAAGATAATAATTACTCTTCACAAGGCTTAGAATCTTCCCAATCTGGAACTTCGGCTCGACGATCATCCTTATTACTAAACTGCTCAAGGTCTGAAAATCATTTATAGTATAAACAGTACCAAAAAAGCTTCCAGTAATGTAATCAATCCTCTAAATAACCCCATCGTCTCCTAAATGGCATAATTTAAGGAGACCTCACTGTAATTATAAAATTCGAGAGCAGTTTTGGCATCTCAGTAAGGCAGCGTTATTTTTTTGCAGCTACAGATTTTGCTTATAAACATGAAAAAAGTTTGTTAAGCTCCATGTAATAACAACTTTAAAATTCTAACTTACCTTCATTACCGTCTTTGGCTTTTTTCTGTTTCGCTTGACGTACTGAACGACGTACCTGAATTATGCAATATTGAAAAACCATAATTAACAGCCTCTTCAAAAAGCAGCCATCAATAAAAACTGTTTAAGACATCACATGGCTATTCTTAACAGCTCAGAAAAAAGGAAAAATGAAGCAAGGAGTTAAGGAGCTGTAGAACACTAGTTAACTTTTGTTATAAATCATATTCCAACAAATGTTGCAACAACAGAATTACAGGTGACAATCGGAACAACAAAACTGCAATACTACTAATTCCCTAAGACAGATAACAATAGTTTAAGTGAATGATGGATGATTACATATTCGCCAAATAACGACTTCACAAAGCTATTCTGGTGACAGCTAATTTTGCCTTTTATTAAAACACCAAAATTGATCATTTGATGGCATAAAGCCAAAAGCCAAAACTGTTCCTATCCATATTTTACCCTTGAAGTTTTTTTACTTTTTTATTAACTATGCATCAACCAAATAAGATCAAAGGCTTCTTTGGTTGACTATGGTTCAATGCTTGGCAGTTGTTCTCAAATTCTTCCGAGAAAACTGCATTAGAATTGCTGTTAAGATGATTCGCTAAACTTTGAGCAGAAAAAAAAAAAAAAATTTAAGTCACAATATAATCAAAAACTATATGAACAAAAATCTCAATCAATTTTTAATTAAATCGACGTTTGAAGGTTGTCGGAAAAATTTTGTTTAAATCTGATGCAATAAAAAAAACTGAAAATTTATTTTTATATATATCATTTGTATAACGCAACAAATTTAAGGGAGGAAAAGTGCTGTAAAAGTGTTTGTTGAAGATTCTAGAATTTTGTCAGTTGTCGACTAGAAACCGTGGAAAGTAAACCGGAAAAAAAGAAAATTGCTCATAAACTGCAACAAAATTTTCTGTTTGAAAAATTTCAGAAGAAGTACAAGGTATCATTTACATCTGTTTAAGAAACTGCTCTACTCATACTGTTTCTAGTTGTTACTATTTTTTTTCTCAGTTTATTTTCTTCTCAATGAGTCATATTTATTGCATGTTTGAAGTAACCACAACACGTGAACTGACACAGATTAAACTTTTAATAACCTTCCGAAGGTTATTGAAAGCATAATTTTGTTTGTTCACACGTGACAATTAATTTCTTCGATGCTCAGAAATTTCTGTTCAACAAATGACGAGAAGTAATAGAATCTAGTAACTTTAGTCTTCAAGCAGTAATCCCGAGTACTGAAGGGCAAAAGAAATTCATGTTGCCTTTTTTTTTGGCCATGTTCTGTGCTTATCAAAGACTACTCTCAACTTTACGCTAAAAAAAAAAACTTGTTAACTTTTAACACGTATTTTGACATTTTAAAAAAAAAGAAAAAAAAAACAAAACAAAACAAGAAAGAAGTTTTCCTTTGAATAGGGCTAATCAAATCACAACCATAGTTAAAGAAATGATAAAACCAATTAGAACTGAGAAAAATTTGTGGCTCATTTTGAGAACAATGGTTTATGAAAATTTTGGCAACAACTCAAAATGAAAAAAAAAAAAATATATGCAGACGACAAGA